AAGAGAAGCAAATGAGAGGGTGAGCCAGTTCTGTGGCATCCAGCCCCTGCCCGGCAAGCTCTGCTGGAGGGTTCAAAAGAGCAAAGTAGGAAACAACTGCTGGAAAACCACCTATGGACTGGAAAAGGGTGACTGCTAAAATATAAACCTCAGCTAGAAGTAGTACTTGATTTTCCTGGATTTCACAAAGATCCAGATTCTACACTCCCAAATGCATGACTGTGGGGAACGAAAGACAGGACAGGACTGATTGCTAAATTTACTTTGGGTTCCCCCTCACTGGACCCAAACAAACAAGCAATAACTGCAGCAAAAATCCCTTCAGCAAGTACCAGAACTTGCTTATCCCCATTACTAACGCTGCCAGTGCAGGAATGGGAGTGCCCACCATGCGGCAACCTCAACCATCCATTTTGGCGTGATAAAGACTCCTAAAGGATGGATAAAAAGAGTGGCAATGACAATCTGGGGACCAAACCCAGAGCTCTGTCATGACAGACTCATGAACCAGAGGGATGCAGATTGCCCGGCCGAGGCAGCAGCGGCTCCCACCTCCCCGGCCCGGCGCAGGCACAGGGGCCATTTGTTCCTCGGCTAAACCCAGGCAGCACCGTATACTAGTCTAACCCAAACCAAGAGAGCCAGCGAGCACTAAATTCAGTCATTTTCCCCTCAGTCTCTTCTCTCAATTTCAGCTCTGACTCCTCTATCTTTTATTTCTTTTTCTAAAGACACATTTAGAGATGAAACCATTCATAACTGCCTATCCACAGACAGTTTGTGGCAGCATAATTGACAATGAGTCTGCTGCAAAAATGAAAATGCTGTTTTAATAACCTTGGCCTAAAATACATTCTGTTGTATGCCTCAAAGGGTTTCAATAAAAAGTCAACCTGTAGAGACATATTTTCTTGGCTTAAACAACAATCCAAAGCATATAAATGTAGTCCAACTATAATGACATATTTATAGGCCAATAAAGCTTACACTGCAGCTTTCATACTTCACTTAAAGGAAGTCTGTAAGAAGCAGTGTTATATAAAATAATTTGAATTTTTTTTCGAACTATAGCCCAAGGAATACAAATATGCAACTTTGCCATATTTAACCGATAGCGTTTACATTGCTTAGTTGCTAAAAATTTTGTAAAATGAAATAATTCCTCATTTGGTGACTTCCCACTGGTTTACCAAATATGGGTATACAAGTCCATTTATTACAAAGAAAAATCCCCTAAATAATTCTAAAGACAAAAATAAATAACTAGCGGCCTTAGTAGTGAATGATTTAATCAGACCAATTCTTCTGGAAAAACAGGTTCTCATGTTCATTATGAATAATGCATTCCTGAGCAACTCTATTTTTATATGCTGCATTGTTGTTATTCTTTATTTTTCTCAACATTTGAAAGAAATATTCAGAAAGCTATAAATAGTTTTAAGACATAAACTGCTAGCATTCAATATTGACATATTTGTAGAAAGGGACAGAATGTATAACATAAATACCTCAACAGGCAGAAAGAAATAATTCTTAAAAATCATTTTTCAGGCTGAAATCTTGAAGCTCACACAAAAAAATGCCATTGCTAGATCTTTTATTTAATACAGTCCTAAGGAAAAGTTCTGCATAATTCACTAGTGATAAAAACAATGGCATTTTACAGAAAAAAACAGTTTCTGCAGAAAAGACAGACAAAGAGAAAAGGAAAAGAGAAAAGAAGAAAAAAGAAAAAAGAGACAAGAGGAAAAAAAGAGAAGATAAAAAAGAGAGAACAAAAAAGAACACAGAACTACTGAATTTTAATTAGGGTCAACTTTCAATTATAGGTGCATGGTTTCTCTGGGTTGTGGATTAACCAAGGGTCGCCTTAGATTTGGCAAAGCAAGTGCCACAGAGCATATGGTACAGGGTATACGCTGCTCACACAAGGCCCCACTTTGCCCGGTTATTGTTTAAAGCTGCCCTGCTCCCAGCAGCAACGTGTTTAATTAAGTATGTTTGCACAGTGCCACTTCTGTGGTTCTGTATCAGCCATGTTTTCATTTCATCCGGGTTATTTCACCCTTCACCACTCCTGGATAGTGTGTGAAAACTGATTTTGTTTCTTCTGTAAAGTCTTTTTGAGCTCTTTGGTAGGGATATAATTTCCTATTACCTTCTACAGCTCGCTTCAAAAACATCTAGTAGGAAAAATTTCAGAATCTACTCACTTTTATGGGATTTTTCTGTAATGGAAACATGCCATTTCATAGGAAAAAAGGGGTCCAGGAGATCACCTTGTTTATCTAGGCCTTTTCAACACCCGGTCCAGCAACTTCCTCGTCTACAGCCAGGGTTAAACGTGGGCATTACTACAGACTCATGCATGGTCCGCCAGACTAGCACAAGAAGGAGTTTGTTCCCTTCACACCCAAGTTCTGTACAAAGCGGTCTGCCCCATCACAGCCACCCCACTCTGCCCCATGGGGAAACCCTCCGGGAAACATCCCCACGGGCGCAGCACTGAGTACCTTAGGGTTTAGGAGGGGAACTGTGCTGCGGTGGTGGGAAACGCTGGATGTGCAGGAGATTACCTCTCCATTTGGGCTGATTAGCCTTGCTAATATAGATGTGCTGATGCTCTCACCTGAGGGACCTTTGCATGACAGCGCACCGTGCTCCCTCACAGTTTACAACCCTATTTTAAGAGAAAAACTACCCCATCCCATTGAGCTGGAGACCTACTGCAGAAGTTATTGCTAATAAATCTTTGATCACTGCGGCTGAGCATTGCTCTGTTGGCAAGATGCTGAATATTGGAAAAGGTCTGTGGGCACACATCGTAACAGGTGCTAAACCTGCCATTTTGACAGCAAAGATACAACACCGGCAGCTCAAATCTCTATGCCTTGGACACTGCACGTTATGCTACTGCCTTTGCCTACAGCTAAGGAGACGGCAATTCCCAGAGCGCAATGTCAACCCTGACCAACCACTCAGAATGAAAGAAGTAAATCTTCTTCACCTGGTGGGTGTTAAACCTCCATCCCATAGTTAAGTCAAACACCAGAGCTCATGGGTTGCCTACAGGACATAACCAAATAGGGCTGCTTCACAAGCAATGGAGATCACTGTTCTTCTGAGTTTTTCTCAGATCCGGGAAGCAAAATATGCTTAAGTTCTTGGGTCTTTCAAATAGTAAAAAAATAATCTTAGTACTAGATTTAAGAAATTTCTTTGCTTTTCATAGGCTAGATCAGTTGTCTGTATCAAGGTGCCTAATCAGCTATAGGTCTTCTTGAACCTTTCATTTCACTCCCGCCAACCAGTCATGATGAAGAAAAAGGCAATCACAATCAAACCCTAGTCAAAATATGCTTTTCTACTGGAAAAAAAAGACCCAACAATAAAGCCAGAGCCACCAACCGAAAATGAGTAACATCAGAATGTGGGTTATCAAAATTATACCATATAGTTTGCATTCCATAAGTGTTTTCAGTATAACCCCTACTTTCAAAGGCTTAAAATGCAACTATAAGCTTTAGGCTTAAAGATAATTTTCTTTGGCTCCTAGGGTAGATAATAGCAATTTCATAACTTACCACAAGGGTTTTTTTGTTTGTTAAAAACAAAAACAAGAAAACATTAACACACAAAAGTTCTGTCTGAAAAACATTAAGATTCTTCTGACACAACAAACAAATGCAAATAAATGTAGTGTGTAAAGAATATGCCAGGGCAATAGCAGAGAAAATTACTGCATGTAATTATGAACCAGAAGAAACCACACAGAAAAGCAAAGGAAGAGAGAAAGAATTGCACGGGTTATTTTTTTTCCTGAAGATGTAATGAAAATAAGATCAACTTCCAATTGTACTTTAATCTTCCAACCTACATAACTAATGGTGAAATGCAAGATTGACAAAATCACTTCACCATTTGATAAGATCAGAAAAACGAGATGCAGAAGATAAATCCTCCAAGACAGATCTTCAGCTTAGTGTAAGTTGGCTTTGATGCCAACACAGTCGTGCCATTATAAAACTGAACTTGGACCTGCATCTCATGTTCACGTAGGTACAAAAGCACTTCCTCACATGCATCACCCTTAGCTTTTAATTTCTTACCTTTCCACGCATTATAGCCTGAATTTGATGCTCTTCAAACTTGGAACATTTGTTAAAAGCTTGGTACAACAGAGAAATGTCCCTGGGATGCACTTCAAAGCGCCGTCTCTGACATCTATTATGCAGCCAAGGTCCTAATACCACGAACAGGCACGTTTACCAACAGGAGGCCCATCTCCCTTGGACCTTGGGCCCCCACCAGAGATTTTAGAGGTGTGTCTGCGCACCAAAGCAGCCCCAAAGCTGCAAACCTGCCTGCAACCATCCAAAGTAGCAGAGCTAGCGTTTCCCTCCCTAAAAAAGAACAGGTCTACCTGAAGAGAACAGCAGGGTGTTCGCAGGGGGCCTACACTGTATGATAACATAAAGCTCACAAGGAAACACTATAGAAGGCTATGGAAGGGACATCTCCCTGCCAACGAGACACCAAGCTGACCGTACGGAGACAGGACAAGCACCAGAAGCAGGTGACAATCCTGCGCTTCCGGAAGATGGGACTCGGGAAGTGAGAGGCCTTTGCTCTCCCCTGCCTGTCGGAGCAGGCCTCGGGAAGATGTGTCAGGCTCCTCTCCCCACGCTGCACAGCTCCGACCTGATCCCCCGGCCTGCAGAGCCCCAGGGAGAGCCCTTGACAATTACTTGTGCGCTCAGGGACGTGTCTACGGAGCAGACAGGTATCACGGAGTTACCCCACGCTAATCTCGAAGGAGCCTGCGATGACCTCACCACCACCACCACCCATCCCGCTCGGGTACCTCATCACCACACCTCCGCCCAAAGCACAGACATACCTTGGGAATCAGCGACGGCTTGGCAGGATCAGGCTCATCCGCCTTCGAAAGACGCTCACCCACGGGCCCCTTCCCACAAGAGAAAGTAAGGGATACTCACCAAGGTCAGCCTTTTCCTTCAGGATGTCTTTGAAGTTCAAGCCGCTGTTGAGCGTGGATTGTCTGTATCTCGTCAAGGCCTCCTTCTGCCCATTCTTCCCCACGTCCATCGGCTTGACCGGCTCAGCCCGGAAACCACACTTCCACTTGGAGAAATCGGACTGCGCCCATTTTGCCAAGTCCTCAAGCTTCACAGTAACTTTCTCTGAAACAGCAATAACTTCATCCTGCAAGAAGCGGTCAAATGAGAATACGACACGTCACGCGGGGCTCCACCATGACTGATAAACCCCTAACACCACCCCCCCATAGGCTATCGAAAAGCCTATCTTGCCGTTGGCAGATTAATTTTTCTGTAATACAGAATAGCTAGTACTTAATTTATTCCTCCTGCCACCTAAGTGGAAATATTAGTTGTTTACTCGAAGCAAATACACATGATCTAAAGACAACTTCTAGGACCGGGGCAATGATCCTAAAAGGCATTTGAAATGCAGGTTGCCAAATCACATTCTGTATAACCCAAAGCCTTGAGGGAAAGTTTGTTTTTTAGGTGCAATTAGCTGCAAATGTAAAAATTCATGGCTGGATGACTAATGGTTATAGCTGGTCCTGAAATAAATGGACTAAGTAAATCTCAGATTCTTGGAACTCTGACTCACCAGAAAATTCCTGTGTTTATGGTACATTTTCCCTTGGCTTATACACAAATATTGAATTTAACTTTTGTCCTAAAAATTAAATAGAACTGTGATGTAATCCCAAAAGAAATACTACATAAATGTTATGTGCTTCCCACCGAAAGAAACTTGCACATTCTCATGTTTCTTAAAACCTTTTTCAAGATCAGAACTGTAATTTTTTTTCCCTTCTTAAACATACATTCTAAGAAAAGCACTTAAACTCAGTTTAGCCTCCAGAACATATACTCAAATTAAACAGCTCTAATTGCTGAATTTTATCCTTCCAGGAAACAATCAAATCCCCTCAGTCATGATGAATAAGCAGAATGTTTTATAGCTGATTCCAGTGAGCAAGGGCTCAAGAAAGCCTCAAAAAAATAAACAAACAAACATACACACATATCCAGCAAGATACACTCCAGATTTTTTAGTTAAAAGAGCAGAAATAATTTATGTTGTAATGAGAGCTGGCTGCACACCACACCTTGCACACCACACATTTCTAGCACTAAATAAGGTTACAGGTTCTTGCAATAAATAAACCAGAATCCAATTTTTCTCTCAAATAAACACAAGTATTTGCAAAGGGGAGAGAAATTCTTTGAGTTATTAAACAAAGAGAAAAGCACGATTGATTCTCTCTGTGTGTTTTTTTTTCCACTGAACACATTCCTCAGGAAATAAAATACTGCTCAATAGGGAAAAAAAAAAAGGCTTTATTGTGATAAGTTACACACAATACAAAACCTGAAGTATCTCTAGTAAAAAAGCAGATCTGATACTCCAATCTCCCTTACATAATACAAAATCGTTTTATAAGCAGGCACCTTCATTACATTTAGTGCAATAACAAATATTTGGTCAGAAACGAACAGCATGCTTATATGCTAAGCAAGCTTGTAATAAAATCTTTTCCTTTATCATTGCACAGCATAAGAGCTTCCACCGAATAACAAACAATAACAGTGATGTTTTAGATCTCTGTTTATGACAAACGTCAATACTTTGTAAACAAGCGTTGGGTACTACAAAGTATAATTTCAATGGATGGTTTCACCCAATTTCATTACACCATCCACTTGAAATTTCAAAAAGCTGTAGTTGCTATGCATTTTATAGCTATTACATGGTGATTATTAAATGTCAGGATGGAAAAAAAAAATACATATATATAAATATCAGCCTGCCTGCAGACAGTCTCAGCAATTTCTGGATGAAGTCCTCTTTTAGGATGTTGAATACCATCACCTGCTACTACACAATTTCTAATATTCAACACTAGAGAAATCTATTTAGCAGCAGTTTTAAAAAAAACTGACTTGGACATCAGACATGTTTTTGGTTAAAATACTATTTTCCAAATAGCTCTCATGATCAAATGATTATGATTTCAATTACTAGTTTCTTCATATCCTTTCCAAGAACTGGTATGACTAATTTTGGCTGGCATACAAAGTAAGCTGAGCAGACAATTTATTAACCAAAAGAAAAGTACAATCACTATTACATCATCAATGAATAAACTTGTTTTCGAGAATACAACCTTCGCACACACGCACATGATGTGTACACAGGGCAAAAAAAAAAGAAAACCTACTGTAACAAGGGTGAAGCGATGCCGGTGCACTCGCCGGCTCTGCCTAGGCTGCCATGGAGGGGGAACAGGAGAGGCTGGAGCAGGGGGAGAGGTGGCTTTCAGGGGGCAGGGAAGAGCACACCCCAGCCATATGCTTTTTGTGGCAGCGGCACGGCCGTGGCCATGAAAACACGTGGTGTTTAGCATCCCCACACTGATGTGAAGAGCCAGGAAAAGACCACACGAAAAAACCGTCATGCGCTTGCCTCAGCCCTTCACAAAATGGCACCGGGACTCTAAATACAGCTGCTGCGGTGCAAAGGGGCGCCCAGAATGGCGCCACAGAGTGGCTAAGCACACAAGTGGAGTACATGAATATAAAATAGAGAAGAAATTCAGGCTGTCACTGTGCCATGACAGGTTGTGTGCTGAAACCCCCCCATGCAACTGGTGCTAGGCGATGGCCCCTTGTCGGCTGCCCCATCACCCCTGCAGCAGCTGTGTCCCCAAGGGCTCCTGGTCCCCATCACCCCTGCAGCAGCCACGTCCCTAAGGGCGCCAGGCTGGCCCCCATATGGGCTGGGATCTCCTGAGGAGGGCGGCTGACCGCAGGCCTCGCGCTCACGGCTG